GTGAAGCCCACTACCTATAGAAAACCATTATGTGCATTCCTAGCTCATGTATAACTAAATGTGTGACCTTCCACATAGGCAATGGTCCATGTGCTGTGAACATACTTCTGTATATCAGTCTACTTATATTTGTATACGCAGGTAAGTTTTTCATGTGTGCATATGTAGACACATAGGTGTGTGCATTTTTATGTATGAAAGAGTGTGCATGTATGCATTTACCTGTGTGACACTACCCACTCAATGGCACAGTGAGAAGAACCCTGGACCCATAGGACATCTGAGAGCTTTGCCTCTCATTTGCTGTGTGTTTTTGCACGAGGCACTTTTTCTTTCAGGATTTTTTTTCCACCTGTTAAATAAAACCATTTTATTCAAGAATCCTTAAGGATCCCTTCAACGTTGAGAAAGGATTAAAAGATTGGCCTAAAGCATTTGGAGAGGGGTGGGGGCTGACAGAGGTCCCAGCCCTTCCCTTGCCACAAGTTGTCATCCAAGAGTAGCCCCATTTTGTGAATTCAAAGTGGGAGAGTAGGGCTGAGGTCTCTGGTGGGAGTGAGGCAGGATGAGGTAATACTTTGCCACCTCCCCCCGACAGGGGTGGGCACACCCTCCATTTGAACCCACTGTAATCTCCAGATTTAAATGAGTGCAGGCTAGGAAGCAAAGGCAAGGGAGGACGGCTGCTGGATGTCTCCCTGTCTCTCTCTGCTATTTCCCATGTATGTACCGGAAGCAGGGGATAGGAGGTCATCTATATTGCCAAATGAATGGCTTTTCTCAAATACACAAAGAAAAAGCTAGTTTGGCTGACCACTGGAGGATTGATGGCCACCCCAGAGAAGCCTCAACAGACACCTTCATCCAGGGTGAAGAATCTGGTTGTGTACTCTCCAGCCCTGGTCAGGGCCTAGGGCAACTGAACCTCACCCCTGCCCCTGTAGCTTGGCCTTTTTGGCCTTTCTGATGAGGGCAGTATGTGTTTGGGTAGGGGGCCAGGGACATGGTGGCCTCCTTGATGTTATCATCCCTGGAAGCGCTACCACAGGACAGTGCTGTGGGGGCCAGAGAGGGGACAAGCTAGTAAGTCACTCCTTTTCTGTGCCCTGGCAGCCCCACAGGGGTTGGGCACACATACACCCACAACCCCAGACAATCACTGTTGGGGCCCATATACTTAAAGCACACACTTCCATCCCAAGCTTAAAGAAATATACTCAGCTCCACTCTTGCACAAATGCCCACATACAGAACCACCCACAAACACAGAAACACACACATTCACACAAAGCAGCTCCACACTTCAAATACCAAAACACTTTCTCTCTTCCACTTCACTTCCTTCTTCCCCATCCCCATCCACACGCAGCCTTCTCCCCCCTGACACTATGGAGGGAAAGGGAGTTTCCAGTGAGGAAGCAGAGACCTTTGCCCTCAGAAAAAGCTACGGATCAATACTGTTTAGACTTGGCTAGCATGTATTTCCTCCTAGGCTGAAGAAGATTTAAGTTTATGGTTCAATCCAATCTTAAAAAAAAAAAAAAAAAGGAAAGGCAGAAAATGAGGAAGTTGGGATGGCGTGCTCAAGTATTTATTTCAATGCAGCCTCAGACTTTAATACACAGGCGGCTCACTAAGCCAGCCCTATAAATCAGAGAAATCAATGCCTGTTTATGATCATTATTACTTTCTTTTTTTTCTTTTTAGAAGGCATGTAAGAAAAAGATCTGACCAGAATCCTCCCCTTCTCTACCCCAATCGGGAAGAAGGAAAATGGGAAACAGGGAGGGAAAGAATATGGGAAAGTCATTCTGGCTGTTGACTTCAGGGTCTTGGCCAGATTCTGGAGGTACATGAGACATAAAGATATGGCCACGAAGGAGGCATGGACGAAATGTTTAAGTTCTTAGAGCTCTAGTTTCTTTCACTGAACAATGAAGAAAATTCTAATTGCCCATAGTGATTGGAAGGTAAAAGGAGATAATGCACAAGAAATCAAATTAGGTAACAACCAATAAATCTATATACTTTACTAATACATCTTGGGGAAGGGGTAACCACCTCCTCCCTCTCCTGCTGGGTTAAAGGGAAAAACCCTTGACTTTGATCTCTTAGAAGAGGTAAAGAGGAGCCTAAGGAACAGGATGCTTCCTGGAGCTGCTGCTCCCCTGGCCTCTGTCCCAGCTGCACCTGGTGGTCTTGGAGGCCTTGGGTATTCTAAGGGCTGCAATGGGGAAAGGAGAAGGGAGGGTAGCCTGGCCATTCAAAATGGTGAGGTTCTGTGGAACTGAATGCCACCAACATCACAACTGGATGCACTTGGACGGTGTCATGGGGCAGGACCCTTCTTGAACTTCCAAGCAGCCTGGATTGGGGAGGACTACCCACTGAGCCTCAGGCCTCAGATTCCCTAAATGGAAGATGTGAAAAGCTTGCTGATTCCAAGCTCCATTCCCCACCGGATGCAAAGCATGTACTTCTAACCACCAGAAAACAATTCACCTAGGCCAACCCCAGAGAAGGGCCCATCTCACTGCCTCTAATTCTGCATGAAAGTACTGACTAAGCACTTATAAGGAGGAGTTTCTCTACATACCCCAAGAAAACAAAGGGGGAATGGGAGAAAGGGGCTTACTGAAATAAAGTTGAGAACCAATGACAATGCCAAATGCACCCACCAACCAGGCTATCGATCCCCAAACCCTTGAGCAGGACTTGGAGGGGCCCTAGGCTTGGAGTCTAGCACTGTCATTTTCCTAGCCTGGACTGAATATTATTTAAGGACAAATCAGAGGATATTTTTTGAGAAAAAAATGTATAATGGCCAGGCTTTCTCATTTCTCACAGAATCAATCCTACAAAAACAACAGGAAAGAAACCAAAGGAAAAGCCTAGAGAAAAGGATTCCCATGCAGGAACCCAGCAAACATACTTGCAGACATCCCAGTGTGCAAACACAAATGAGTGCATGTACACACAGTGAACTCACAAGCATCCAATTGTGCATCTAATTACAGAGAAATGAACACCCAGTTGCACAATACTCACAGTACAGAAACACACACAAAAAAACTGGTAGGAACTTAGATGCACCAGTATCTACACAACATCACATATGCACATGGGTATGTGTGAACACCTATCTAGCCACACAAGTACATTCACTCATATCACAGAAGAGACCCAAAGGGAGAAGGGAGGGGAGTTACAATTTTTTAAGAATTCTGGACAAAGTGGAGTATCTTCTGAGAACAACCCATTCTTCCTCCCTCTAACCTTTTTGTGTGTGGGGTGGGTCCCAGCTCCTACCCTGGAAGAATGGGCTCCAGGGTCAATGGTAATCGTGAAGACATTTTACATTTCCTTTTGGAAACTCCAGGAGTCCTGAGGGTCCTGGGGGCATGTGTGTGCAGACATTTTTCCATGAGGAATCATGCTAAGCTTTGTTGGGATGACGAAGGGGAACCCCTCTCAGGTTTAGGGTCCCAAGGAGGCAGGCTTGGAGCCCACTTCTGGCTGGGGGCCCAGAGCGATCCTGGGCAGCTAAGCGGATGTCTCTTCGCTCAGCTTTCCCGGCATTGAGGCCTCCTTTCCTCCTGGCTTGGCTTTTTGAAAGGATGGAATCTGAGCACCAGAAGCTCCATGTTCCGCTTCACCATCAGATTTACTCTATCCAAACCAAAAGCAGTAAGTTCAAGGTGGTGGAAAGACCAGGACAGAGTGACCCTCTTCTAGAAGGCTGTTGGGGACAAGAGGCAGCCCACCCAACTATGTCCCTGCCCTAGAAAAGCCTTCTGACTCTGAAGGTGAAAAATCTCTAGCAAAACACGCCTCAGGAAAAAAAAAGAAAGAAAGAAAAAAGAAATGTGCAGGTTGGCGCTAGGAATAGGTTAAACAGGAGAGGTCGCAGGCCTGGGCTCAGCCTGGAGCTGGGGGAGCAGTCCAGGCAGTGCTTTCCAAGCCAGGCCTCGGTTTGCTGGCCTTTGAATTCCCTTGAACACTATCGGAGATCAAGCGTGTCCCGCCATACTCTCCAGACCCCCAGCAAACACGAATCTGGGCTGCCTGCGCCACCGGGCTCCCCCTCTTTCCCCTACATTCGTTGTGCAGCGATCGCGAGGCCCAGCCCGGCTCCCCGCCCGGTGTGCGCAGGGCGCCAGGGCGCTGTGTGCCTGGCCCACGCCCTTCCCGAGCCCCCAAAGAGAAGGGCTGCCAGCGGCTCGTGAGCACAGTGTACACTTTATTTCAGACTACAGGTTTCTGAACATAATAAAATCTTTGGCTTGTAGCGGCGGTTCAGTCTCGCAGTCTGTGGGGTCGTATTTCTCAACAAGTCTCCGGAAAACGAAAGGGGGGCAGGACAGACAGACGGACAGAAGGGCTCCGGGAGGTGGGGTAGAGGCGAAAGGCAGACACGCGAGGAAACACACTCTCACGCACACAAAGAGAAGTCCCAGAGAAACGAGGGCCAGCGATGCGGGGCGGGAGGCACCGGAGAAGCAGTAACATTCAAAAGAAAAAGGCAACGAAAACGAAACTGGGCTGGGGGCAGCGAGGCGGAGTAGGGGGTAAAATAATTATAATAATTATAATAATTATAACAATAATAATAAAGGAGATTAATAAAAATGTCCAGCAAATAGAGATCGCTACACATTTTTTTTCCTTACCTGAAATTAAATATATACAAGGTCGTAAGCTGTTTGGCTAGATAGAGCTTTAAGGAGTTCGCAGTTTCGTCCCTTATACTGTGAATAGAGAATAGATCTTATTTTTCGATAGCACCTGTCCAGTCTTTCTCCTTTTTGCAAAAATGTTTCGTGACTGTCCATTCTGAAGATCTCTCTCTCTGCCGGTCTCTTTTTTCCTTTCCCTGCTGCTTCGCTCCCCCTTAGCGCAGACGCTTTCTCCCCCGGCGCGGGGTGGGAGAAGCGGCAGCGGCGGTGCCAGGAGGGGGCGCGGGCTCGGTGGCCGGACCGCGCGCGCCCAGCCAGCGGCGGCTACTCGCTCTCGTCTTTGTCCTGGACCGTGGTGGTAGAATGGTTGTACAGTCCCTGGGCCATGAGGTGTAGCGCCAAGCCGTTCTTAATGCCTGTGGCTTTCTTGATCTTGGCGCGCTTATTCTGGAACCAGATCTTGATCTGGGACTCGTTGAGGCTGAGCTCTTGGGCCAGGGTCTGCCGCCGCTGTTCCGTGATGTAGCGGTTTGCCTGGAACTCCGCCTTGAGTCTCTGCAGCTGCTCGGCCGTAAACGCCGTCCGCGGACGCTTGTCCTCCTTCTCGTTCTTCTTCTTCTTCAGCTTCCTGGTGCGCGGACCTGCAGTGGCAGACAGGGCCGGGTCGGGGTGGGGGTGGGGGCAGAGGGCAGAAGGGAGGGAGGAGAGGGCAGAGGAAGCCGTGAGAATTGTAGAGCAGAGCGGGGGTCGCGCCCTGAGCTTCCGGGATGGTCGCGGAGGCCCCGCTTAACCCCCGGCTCCCTCCCACCGGCCAAACCCTGGATCGAAGTACCTCTTGCTAGGCCACTGTTGTTTATTAATTCCCTTCTTGGAGGGCAAAAGAAGCTCGGAGAAAAACTGATTGAGGTTTAAGTGCACCTCACACCCCAATTTAGAATAGGAAAGCCGTGAACAGACTCAAATGACAGCACTTCCCAGGCAAGGAGGTGGGAATCCCAAGATACAGAGACTCAGGCCCAGCTCAGAGTTGCCGGGTTCAGGAGCCTGCTGTCCTCACAGCCCAGAAATAAAATAGATAGGACAGTGAGGGCAGGCTTGGAGGAGTCACCAGCCTGGTAACTAGTGATCCCCTCATCCTCCAGGAGTGACCTACAAACAACTGCAGTTAAGACCCCATCTGCTTGGAGCTACAGACCTCAGAATCTAAGACAGGGAAGGGGCTGTGAGAAGCCTGCTCGGTCTCAAAGTATTTAATATCAGTTGCCCTTACCTCTTTTCCTCTTTGGACAAAACAAAGCCTATCCTAGGGCCTCAGGCATATACCAACTTCCCCCTGAGGGAAGAAAAGGCCCTGTTTCAGCTGCAGGGTTTGCCTCACAACTCTGGCCGCTAGGTTCTCAGTTTTGCCCCTTGGATGGTGCCAGTAAGAAAGTGAGGGCCTTCTCCATTCCTAACACTCAGCTGCACATCCAGGGTCTCTCTCATCTGGGTCTTCCTTATTTTTCCTTGGAACTTTGCAATTTCAGTATTGAAAACTCATGGATAGCAAAAACAAGACAGATTGGCTTTCTTTGCCTACTGATAACATTTACAAGGAGATGTCATCCCTCTGCCCCACATCCATTAGCAAACTAAGGGAAGAGGGAGGAAGACGGGAGACAATCCTGACAAAAATCTGTGGCTTGATCCCACCCAACATGGATATTCAATGAGGCCACAGAAAAACTTCCCAGGAAAGTGAAATTCCCTGCAAATATGAGTGGGGAGCACAGCTGCTAAGGAGTCCAGCCCGGGAGAGAGGAAGGAAGGAAGGATGAAAACCAGAAGAGGATTAAACTGTTGGTCTATGCCTAGAAAGTCTGCACATCTGTCCACCTGCTCCTACACCCAAGTCTTCTGGCACCTACTTGCTGGGCCCTGTCTTGGTTATGGGCACTTATTGAGCCAAGTCAAGTCTCTGTCAGGCTTGTTAATCTCTAAAACCCTCCAGAAGGAAAAGACTTTGCAGGTATCTTCAAACCTAGCTACGGAGGGGCAATCTGGAGAGCTGGCTCCTGAGGCAGATCAGGGCACAAGGTCACCAATTGTCCTATGATTAAGCACCCAGGCCTAGCAGACTGTACTGACTCAGTCTTTGATGAGGTTCGTCCCCTCCGAACAGCCAAGCTGGAGAAGGAGCAGTCCCCTGCCTTCCTAGACACATCAGAAGGAAAGCAGCCAAGAACAAAGCCAAGGCCCACTCCAGAGCAGGACTGGGGTTTAAATTAGTAATTAGCTAAGCAGGTAGAAAAGACCCAGACAATTCACACATCCCCCAAAAGGCCTCACTGCGCCTTGTGGGTCCAGGACGTATTGGAGTGTTGTTGTATGTGTGTGCAGAGGCACAGACACTTGTAATAAAATCGTAGTTTCCCGGCCAGCCCCAGCCGCGCAGCCTGACAGCTCAATCACTCTATCCATCAAGCGAGTCAATCAAAGCAGCTTTTCGGAGGTTCAGGGAGCCGGACGTGTCAATAACGGGCTCGAGATGGCGGGGGCTGATAGCGCCCATCGATCCGAGCCCGGCGGGCAGCGGTGAGGAGGCGAGAGACCAACCAGAGCAAAGCTGCGCGTGGCTACGTTGTTCCCGGCCCCCTGCCGTACTGTGCCCCTGGAGTATCGACTTCGGGCCAAAGCCTCTGTTGCTCTCCGAGACACTGTCGGTCTGGGTGTATGGCAGGCCTGGGCCTCCCCTTCTGGAGCTCAGAGGCTGTTCTCAGAACAGGTTTCCGCCTCGGGTTGTCAAAACGTAAGGGGAATACAGAAGAATCGTGGAAGTAAAGCCGAGAAAAACAGGTCCGCGCCTGGCAAAAATTCACCAACCGGTAGATGTGGAGAGAAAGAAGAAAAGCAAACGGCAGGAAGGATGTGGGAGCCGCATGGTGAAAAGCTATGGAGGGAGCTGGCTGGCTTGCCCTTGGCCTTGTTTGCTGGCCGGAGCCTGACCTGTATTCTCTCCTCTCCCATGGTCTGACAGCTCCAAAAACCTAGGAACCCCCAGCACCCACTTTTTTGATAACCGCCTTTCCTTGGATTCTGCCCACTGGGGTCACACTCTCTACTGCGCGGGCCAGCGGGGGGAGGCTGTAGCCAGACGCTTTTCTCTCTCTTCTGTGTATCCCCATATCTATCTCTATCTATATAAGTGGACTCTCCGCAGAAAATATCTTTGTGTCTGTGAGAACACACAGCAAGATAATTTCTCTGGTCAAAGCCTCCTCTGGTCAAAAGCCGGTGTGGAATTTCAGACCCAGATCAGTAGGCCCACTTTCCCTTCATACCTAAACACCGCTTTCCCCCAAGAAAAATCAGTGACTGATTGTCTATCTTTCCTAAGAATAATAAAGACAAAACACAAAGAAGGCCCCAGGGGTTCAGAGCGCAAAGCCCCTTACAGGGAGCAGTAACTTCATGGTGGCTGCAGAGACTAGGATGGAAGAACTGGGCGAACATTCGGTTGTGGCTAGAACTCAGGATGAGAACTAGGAAACAGGCGTGAGAGACATGAGTGCCATAGGCCGTGTCAACTTTCCCAGCGCAGCGGCTTGGAGTTCTGGGGGAGTCCGCGAGACCGGAAGGCATAGCGCAGCCCGGGGTTGAGTACTCACCGGAGGACGGACGATCCGAGTAGCGAGTGCAGTAAACCCAGGCTGGCCATACGAGAGGCTGCTGCGAGTCAGTTTTGACTACGGGCCCGCCGTTGGCTGAGCCCATAAGTAGGATGGCCGGGTTGCCATGCTCGGGGTACTTGGCGCCCTGTGCGCCGGGGCTCCCCGAGCCGCCTCCACTGCCGCCGCCGCTGTCCGAGGGCTTGGCCGCCGCGGCCGCGGCCGCCGCCGCTGCCACAGCCGCTGCAGCCGCCGCCGCCGCCGCTGCCGCCGCTGCCGGGTTCCCGGCTTTGGACGCACCCGCGCCGGCGGCGGGAGCCGGCTGGGAGCCGTCGGGTGGGCCACAGTTCGCGTCCGGGGCGCATAGGAGAGAGGAGGCGCCTGGCGCCCGCGTACCCAACGAGTGCACAGGGTCTCTACCTGCACCAGTCTGGCCCCTTTCTCGTTCGACCCGGCCTCCTCCTCCTGCGCCTCCTCTGGCCGCCGCCGCCACCAGAAGCTGGGGTGGCGGCTGCTCTTTTTTGCAGCCGAAGTCCGGCCTCAGGATGTTGTCGATGAAAAAGTTGGTTGTGCGGTGGAGCTGGGCCGCTGGCTGCGGCTGGTGAGCAGGCGCCGCGAGATGCTGCGGCGGCGGGGGCGGGGGATGCGGGGGGAGGTGCGGATGGTGGGCCAGGGGCGGCAGGCAGGGCGCTGCAGGCGGCGAGGGGGGAGCGGGCTGCGGGGACACCGGCACGCTGTCTCCATCGCTGCCGCTGCTGCCGCTGGCGCCCGGACTGAGGCTCAGGCTAAGGCCGCCCGGGGTCGCCGCCGCCGCCGCGCCGAGGCCCGAGTCGCGCTGACTTTTAGGTTCCGGCTGCTGTTCTTCCATGCTCGGCCGCCCCGCCGCCCCGGCCTCTCCGCCGGCCCCCGCCCCCCCCGCCTCGCTCCCCACCCCACTTTGCCAGTGGCCCGTGGGGGTGCGCGGAGGAAGGAGGCAGGCGAAGCCCCAGCGAAGGAGCGGGGCGGGTGAAGGAAAAAAAAAAGCCCAGGCGTCTGGCCTGAATCGCTTGCTCTTATCGAGCAGATAGATCTGTCTCTCTCTCTCTCTCTCTCTCTCTCTCTCTAATTTGTAGACATCCAGATACGGAGGCACTTGGCTGTATCTTTTTCTTTTTGCAACCAGATTCAATGATCTGTTTTAAATAGGGAGTAAGCCACGGCCAAAAAAATAAAAAGAAAAAAGAAAGCAAGAAAAAAGCAAAAAGCTCCAATAATTTTTTTCTTAAAGGAAAAAAATAGTCTCTAAAGTCTAGTCATCTTCCTAGGCAGTAGTGAGGGGTTTGACTTCCCCGAGTGTCACGCTCAGCTGTGCCCAGAGCGCGAGGCTGGCAGCGCCTTTAATCGCCTTTGCTTTTTTTGCAGGGAGAGCGCGTCTCCGCCAGCGCCGGGCTGGGTTTTTTTTTTTTTTTTTTTTTTTTAAATCTCTGACAGCTCGGATCTTTGCACAAACTCTCTCGCTTAAAAAAAAATCACCCAGGCACACTTTTTGCCTTCAAACCGGAAGCACGTGAGTCAGTGCCGCACGTGTGCGGGGCCAATGGCTAGCCCGAACTAGCGCTGACACTCAGGCCTCCGCCCAATGGGAGCGCGCGGGACTTTGCGGATAAATAATCCGGGGGCGTCAGCAGCAGGCGGAGAGGGGGCGCAGCGGCGCGGGCAGGAGTGCGGTTCTCCCTCCCCTGGCCAAGCCTGAGCCCCTCCCCCTCCTTCTGGCCTGGACGGAGGAGGGGGCCCTAAGATACTGAAAGGGGTGGATTTCGGGGTGTAGGCAAATAGAGAAGCAACTCCATGAACAACTTGTTGGATAAATGCAGAATTATGGATGCGTGCAAACCGGACATAGGGTCAGGAGGCAAGGGCTGGCTTCTTTTGCACCCCTAAGCCTAGAAATTTCTAATATAGAGTCTCTTTCTCTCTCTCTCTCTCTCTCTCTCTGAGGTTATTGTCACTGGAGAAGTGTATGTGCGTGCAGTGGAGGAATGAGACTTGGAGGTCAGTGATGTGAAATAGACCCAGAGTGGGTTACTTACAGAAGCTCAGTTTTGTTTTGTTTTGTTTTAACAATTACCAAACTTAGGAGGCTTGCAGAGTTTAACTAGTACCGCCTGTTTGTACATCTCATGTTGGCCATCTACACTGCTTGTCCTTTCTGGGGAATCCGCACCCATGCCCTTCCCTGTCTGGACTTTCGACAACACCCAGGAGCTGCCCTGGCGCCATTGAACCAGGCCCAGAGGGTGCGGAAGAGCCCCAGCGCCGGCCTCCTGGCCCTTCCCTGGCCGCAGGAGTCCGGCTGTCCTGGCAACATAAAATTGTCTCAGGAGGGCCCCAGGCCGGGCGAGTCAGAACGTGGATGTCACTAGGCCTCGGGTTCTGAGCAACCTCCGTGTTAGATTTACCTGCAAAGTAAAATCAAACAAATGAAAGGGTGCGCTGGACACCTGACAATGTGGACAGCCAGTTTCCCCCAGTTGCAGGGTAACCGAATTTCCTGGATGCTCCTAACTCCTTGGGCGCCTCGGACTGTAACAGGGCGCATTCTTCCCTACCTTTAGGTATGACAGCACCTCCAGCCGTTCCCACGCTCCAGTCGGCTGGGCTGTCTTCTCTGTTTCCTTGTCGAAGCACCTCAAACGTTTTTCCATAACCAGGGATGCAGGGTGGAGAGGTGGTGTGCAGATCCAGACGCCGGCGGGACTCGGCTGCGGAGCCGTTTTTTGGAGTGGCAGGATCCTATTATCTGCTGAAGCCTGCGGAGCCTGAGAAAGGCTCAGGCATATGAGGCCTTCATGGGGATGTCATCATGGAACTCCAAGGGACATATTTGCCCTGACCACCATCCCCCACTGGGACAGCGGAGAAAGGCTCTCTTTGGGATTGTTGTCTATTTGGGACATGCGAAATAATCCCTCCTGCCCTTGTTTTCCAGAAAATTCACAAGGTGGTTAGAGGAAGGGAAACATTCAACTGAAACCACAACAAGCTAAATGCTGCAGTAGCTGAAGTTTCTCAAAAGGGCTTGGAAAGCAAGAATTCGAATTTCTCTCTGCATCTTAGGGTCAGCCTAGGGTTCCCCGACTTAAGGGTCTACATTCCAGACTGGACTTGGGCGGCAGCGTGAGGAAGAGAACCTCCCTTCCATCGCTGCGCAGGTCCGCTGCGGTCTCTTCCACCTTCCCAAGCCGCCCCCAACCCTATCTTGGGATCTCTTGGTTCCTCTTCAGTCTCACATCCAAGGGCTCCCCGAAATCTCCAGGCGCTCCTACCCTTCTTCCCGAAATGGGGGTGGGATTTATTTATATTTAAGTTCGCAAAATTGAAATCTTTATCCCGCAAGCAAGCGTGGGTACTTAATTAAATTCTAATTAGGACACTATCAATATCCTATTTAGCCGCGTAGCTTTTGTGCACCGCAGTCCCTTTCAGCGCCGTAAATAGGGTCTCGACGCCTTATCTCGCCTGCAGGAGACGCCTCGAGAAGGGCTGCGGAAGATAATTTATAGGTTTTAATTACTCTTCATTCCGCCTGATCAGCTTGGCGTTCATCACAGGCCTGTGAATAAAACCCTGGTCAAAAGCTCTGTCACATCGCGCTGGCAAGACGCTTAATCAAAGTGAGCGGCCCCGCGCGCCGCGCGGCCCGGCTCCTCCACGTAATTTCCAGCCAGCTGATAAAGCCAGCTGAATAATGCGGCGGCCCTTTGGAGACACCATTTACAGAAATGACTTTATTGACGGCTTAACGTCGGTAATTCATTTTACCTTTCATGTAGTGGAGCCCGGATTTGTTACAGTAATGGGATGATAAATGCACCCGCGGCCCACGAGCTCGAGCGGGATTACGTGGTGCTGTGCGCGCTGGCTGGCCCCCCACCTTTCCCCAGGTCGAGCCTGGGCCCGATGCTCTGTACCCCGCACCGACCTGCACATCATGACCTCCACCCAAGCTCTAAGCTTTCCTCTCTCACACACAAATGAACGTGCTATTGGGAAGTCTGTGTGAGCGCTATGGTGTCCTGGCAAGCCTGCCAGTGAGGTGTGTGAGGGCTGAATGAGCAGATGCTGGCCAAGACGGCTGTGTGAGGGGTCCAGAGGACTCTGAATGAGCCCAGGGCTGAGCTTGTGGGTGAGGAACTACGGGCAGGGTGAGTTGTGTGTACAAGTATGTGGGAAAAGCACTTGTGCGAGTGTGAACATGAGGGTACATTTGTGTGGCCATCCTTTCCCTAGTACTTCTTTCTGCCTTTTGGAATTCGGAAATTGCTTCCAACTAGATACATGCCCATGACAGGGTGGCAGGGATGTGGGCCTATAAGAAGCTGGCAGAGAACCTGCCCACAGTGGAATGGAGCTCCTTTCAGAAAGTGCCATCTGCTCCTAGGCTAAAGGTTGGGAAGTATGGGGGTGCCCCATACCCATTTCCATTGCCTTGCAGTTCTGAGCTGTGCAGTGACCTGGGCAAAAGGCCCCACAGACGGGCCGCAGACTGGGCCATGTCTCTGCAATAAGTAGATTGTCTCCAAGACACTTTCTATACCCAGCAAGGAAGAAAAACATTTTGTTTTGTTTCAAATGTCAAAGAGGGGAGGTGAGTAACACTTTTTTTGTAACTCTGTCCATGTTTGCAAAAGGAACCCAGCTGAAAGAGGCCTTCAGCAGTGGGGCATGAGGTAAACAGGACAGAGAGAAACCCCAGCCCTCCTGTCGGGTCTCCCCATACCTAGAATTCTTCCATTCTCTGAGGCTATCAGGGGCTTCCACTGAACAAAAAGCACTGGGCAGACAGAAGGGAATGTTGTGTCTATGTTTGGGGAGCTGCGAGTTAGAGAAGTTTGGGATCATGTGATAGGAAGACTGGTGAGTGTTTCTCAGAGTGAAGGCTAAGAAAATGTACCTGTTTCTCCCCTTCCCCAATTTTGGAAAAGCCATATAGTGATGTTGGAGAGTGGCTTGTTGTGGCCAGGCGTATATTTGTGTCTCTTTGCTTGTGTGAGAGCCACATAGATGAGTCTATAAAAGCATTGTGTGTGTGTGTATTTCTGTGAGTGACGGAAGGCCCCTGTATGTACACTAGTGTGTACATCTGACCAGCTAGTCAGGCATGTAAAAATGTGTTTGCTGAATGTTTTGTTGTATGCTATCTAGAAAAGAGAAATCTCCTCCATCCTCTCTTTCCACAGAATTTGGGAGTTTGTTTAGGTAGAGACAAATGTTGGGGTCCTGGATGCTCCTGCCTCTCTTTTGAGGTTGGGGAGGAAGATACGTATAAAGGAAAACCTTGCAGCTTGGCCAGGCATGTGCGCGATGGGCCGGGAGGACGAGTGTGTTGCATGCACACGGTGGTAATCGCATTTCGAGTGTAGATCAGATGGCAGTGGGGCCTCGTGGTGCGGGACATGAATGAGTTGTCCCAACACAATAGCGCGCAGCCTTCCTACGGGGACTGGGTGACCAGCGGTTTTGTTGGGAGTGAATGCGAGGAGATTTCTGCTACAAGTGCCGCGGTATTATTATGAGCCGGAAGGTCAGACTATACATCGCAGGTCCCCAAAGCCTATAGACCTTGGGAAATGTGGGGCCTCGAGCAACGTCATTGTACCTGACAGTCCTTTCAATAGACTAATTCAATTAGCGCTTGGGTTTCGGTCTTCATTTGGAGGCGATAATAATATGTGGTAGTGGGTGGGTGCTGGGGGATTCGTTGGGTATTGGTTAGGGATACGAACCCTACCCAAAGCTCATAGTTAGACTGGGGGAGGCCAGCAAGGGAAAAAAGCCGGTGAGTGGGGGCGTGCGTGGGAGGCAAACCATGGAAAATAAAATGCTCTG